CCTGCCTTGATGGATTGGATTCAAATACTGGAGAGAAATACCAAATTCAGCTACAGATAAACTGGAATTTTTAATCTTAGTTTTTCCCAAAGTCTCAGCTACAGCCTGAGCATCATTAGGAAAGGCAGCTTTTTGAGTCTGCAAGGACTAAAAATAGAAATGCAGGCATTGTGATAGAAAAACCCATGCATCCCACAGCCAGAAGATGCCCACTCTCTAGCCTGCTATCCCAGCTCATTCAGACTTGCTGTGGGTCACCCACAAGTCCTTACATCTCTCTGTGCCTCAGTTTCTCAGGAGGGGATATGTGGTGAGAGAAAGTCTGTTACTTCTCTGAGGGGCTTGGTACTATTGCACCAGAAGTAGTGGGAGGTGACAGCCAGAACAGCGATCATCCCTGGAGGACAATTTCATCTGCTGGGTTTGAAACTAGAATTGATTTGGATGGAAGAACTAGGCCTAGGGAGCTGGAAATGAAAACCAGCGCAGAGGCCACTGGGAAAACTGCCAGGACCTGCCGCAGGGAGCTGGCACCAAAACGGCAGCTGTGCATCAGTAACGTTCCCTGATGCCGTCAGTCTGGTTCAACAGGCAGCTTAAAACATAACTGCTCTCTGCACGCCAGGATGTTTGCTTTGCGGGCTTCTCTCCCCTTGAAGAGGCTGTAAACTGTGCAGGTTTTGTTTGGGACAGGATGTTCCTGGTTGTAACCACAGGGGACAGGGGGTTCCCTCGGGGTGACCACATCTCCCAGTGTGTCAGGGAGGCGTTGCCATGCAGAGGATGAAGCAACGCTGGGACAAGCAAGGATCTCCTGGGGTCTGTTTTTCCCATGGTTGCTTGCAGTTGCCATTGTGGGTCCTGATTCTTCCTATACTTCTCCTGCTTTGCAGGCCTCCTACCTCACATGGGGCGTCCTCCAGGAGCGTGTGATGACGAGAACGTATGGTGCCACCGAAATGGACCCTGGTGAGAAGTTCAAGGACTCCCAGTTCCTAGTGTTCATGAACCGCATCCTGGCCTTCACGGTGGCCGGTCTGTACTGCGCCCTGACCAAGCAGCCACGCCACGGAGCTCCTATGTATAAATACTCCTTTGCCTCCCTCTCCAACGTCCTCAGCAGCTGGTGCCAGTATGAGGCACTCAAATACATCAGTTTCCCCACCCAAGTGCTGGCCAAGGCCTCCAAAGTGATCCCAGTGATGATGATGGGCAAACTGGTGTCACGTAAGAGTTATGAGTACTGGGAGTACTTGACTGCTGCCCTTATCTCCGTGGGGGTCAGCATGTTCCTGCTCTCCAGTGCTCCCAACAAGCACATGTCCACTGTCACCACTTTCTCAGGTGTAGTCCTTCTGGCCGGTTACATAGTCTTTGACAGCTTCACCTCCAACTGGCAGGATGCCCTCTTCACCTACAAGATGTCTCCCGTGCAGATGATGTTTGGTGTCAACGTCTTCTCCTGCCTGTTCACGGTGGGCTCGCTCTTGGAGCAGGGTGCCTTGCTGGAGTCGGTAGGCTTCATGGCCCGCCACTCGGAGTTCACGGCCCACGCCGTGCTGCTCTCCGTGTGCTCCGCCTGCGGCCAGCTCTTCATCTTCTACACCATCAACCAGTTCGGGGCAGCCGTCTTCACCATCATCATGACACTCCGCCAGGCCTTTGCCATCCTGCTCTCCTGCCTCATCTATGGGCACACTGTCACTGTTGTGGGCGGGCTGGGAGTAGCTGTTGTCTTTATGGCCCTTTTCCTCCGCGTCTATGCCCGCAGCCGCATGAAGAAGCGCAGTAAGAAGCTTCCACCAGGCGAGACCCCCGTACAAAAGGTCTGAGGAGTTGGGGCCATGGCGTTTAAGCCGTGCCTGCTGTCCTGCCTCCGCACGGGGGTACTTGCTTGATTTCTCAGAACCCACTGAGGAGCAGGGTGGGGTATGGATAGGCTGGACCAGTGACTCACTTTTCCACCTGCTTTTCCTGGGGAAGGGGCTGGAATAAGCCCAGGCAATGCTCTGGGCTGCCACAGCTCCAAACCTTTCCATTTGCCTTAATAGGTCAAAGACTTCCAGCCAAGGCATGGGCCTGGGGGCTCGCATCCTGGGGGAAAACCAGCATGGGGCTGCTGGTGCTCCTGCCCCACCTCTGTCTGGTGGCTCCTCTCCAAAGTTACTGATGAACAAGGGAGCTCTTTTCCCTGGCACTGTCTTGCCTCTGGCTAATGCTCCTCCATTTGTATCACTGAGCTCAGGAGGAAAAAAGGGCAAGCAAAACACTAGCTTTCTTTTTAAAACACCTCCATGTGAGGCCAGTCCCAAGTTGAGCCTGTCCCAAGGCGGGAGAGCTCTCAGCCCCCTCTGCCAGGAGGTGCACCAGGTAGGACAGGCACAGCTAAGGGAAGGACTCCCAGCCTGTCCTACCCCAGGCCTGGGATCTGCCTGGGGAAGGCACAGCAGTGAAAGCCAGTACCTTCCAGTCTGGTTTTATCAGTTTCTTGCCGCTGCTCCAAGACACCTTTTTTTTTTTCTTCTTCTTTTTTTTTTTTTTTTTTTTTTTTCTCCCCTGATTTTTACGCTGAGACTGAGGCTGGCCAGTGCAGTTCCCAAGGCTTGCTGAGTTGTTCTAGGTTGCTTTTTAGTTACATCCACTGCTGTCACAGGCCAAAGGCTGCGCTGCCCAGAAGCCCCAGCATTGCCTTGGGGTGTCTCAGTGCCACGGTTTCTGGGCTTTGTAGTTGCCATTCAGAGAAGCACAAATAGCCCCTCTTCTTCCTGCCAACTGGAGGCATCATCCATGGCTTTCTTGGGACCCAGCCAGAGCCCCACTGTGCCTGGAGGGCTGAGAGATGGGGCAGAGCCCGCTTGCGGTGCCTTGGTTCTGCTCCCCAGGCAGCGGGATGGAGGGAGTGGGCATCTGCTCCTCAGGCAGCAGGGGATGGAACAGCCAAAGCTGCTCTTCCCCAGGAGCCTGGGTTTTACTGGTTAACCCTTTTCTCCTCAACACAACCTGACTGACAAACCAGCAGGTTTTGGTACTTTTGAAAGGCAACTTTTTTCTCTTTTGATTTTATTAAATTAAAAATATGCTGCATCTAGTGCCCTGGGGGTAAATGGTTTTTGGTTTTGTTTTTCTTTTTCCACATGTACCTGGACGCCAGTGCTGTCTGGTCATGGTGAGGGCTGGGGTCAGGGACAAGACCTAGCAGAGCTGGAGAAAGGGGAGACTTGGGGGGGAGGGCTACAAGAGAAATAGAAGAGGAGACGGGACAGGAGTTGCTTATCACAGTGCTGGGTTAGCTAAGCCAGCTGGGATAAACAGATCTGGTGCTGAGCACAGCCCAGGCTTCAGAACACTTGATTCTCCAGCAGTCTCACCTGTGCTGCTTTCCTAGCTCTGAGCTCTTAAAAGTGCCTGTGCAGCCTTGCAGCCCCTCATCCTGCCCTTACAAATTCCCCCGGATGTCTGGCCCCGCCATCTGCAGACAGACTGAAAATAGAATGGATTTTTTTTTCCTTTGGTCAAAAAGATAGATTTGATAGTCTGCCTATCTAAAAGATAGATCAGATAGTCTGCCAGGTTGTGAATGGGATACCTTTTCTCATTTAAATGTAGATTTAAGGAGAAAATTAGTGGGGGGGAAAAAAACCCCAAAACACTGTAAGTTAAAAGGAGGAATTGACTTTACTGATTATTTGGCAAAACCTTCCTATCCAGAGAGAAATCTTCCTTTTAAACAATGTTTTTCTCCCGTTTCAGGGAAGGAAAACCACCCTGAAAGCATTTACTAGCTCAGCTCCAGCACTGCCCCAGCAGCCAGCACCCAGACAGCTGCCATGCTTGCAGCAGTGTCCCGCAGTGGCTCGGTGTGCAGTGAGGGACCCCAGCAGCTCTGCCTCCTCTCCCTCGCTGCTGAAGGTTGATACTGCCCAAAGCCCACTCCATTTAGTGCCGGTGGTTGCTGGCAAGCAGCCAGCATGAGAAAACGATGTTGGTGTCACTTTCCCCTGACAAACCCCAGGGGCCATTGTGACCGAGGGTGACAAACCCCACTGATGGGGTGTGAGCTCAGTGCAAGGGGCAGATGAAGTAGAGGTGATGCCCCAGGTCTCTCTGTCATCTGGGACACAAAGCCAAAGCCAGGGGGTGGCCAGATGCTGCCAAACACATCAGGGCTACAGCAGCCCAGAAGGGACAGGCTGGAGCTGGGAGGAAAGGTGGAGTCTAGAGCACAGAGCAAGAGCAGTTTGGCCTGAGAGCTGAAGAGAGGCAGCTCGAGTACAGTCCTGAGCTGTCAGTCCATCCCCTGCTCAGCACTGCAAGGGAACAGGCAGATGGCTCCTGTCACAGCTCCCGCCCCCGGGGACACTCGATGAGACCAGCCAGCAGCAGCGCAGGCGCTGGTCCTGGCACAGCTTGCCCAGCTGGTGCACGCAGATCAGAAAGGTTTGTTCCCAGGCTGTGGGGCATGCAGCGCTCTGGGTGCAGAACTGCTGCCCAGCTGCAGATGACCCCACTTGCACAAGCAGGTCATGGATTTCTCCTACTCACTTCATGGTGCCTGCGCAAGGAAGGAGTAGAGCTCAGCTAAAGCAGAGCACTGGAAACGAGACCAGCCGCCCGATACCCTCAGGCACAGCCTGAGACCCCTTCCTCCCTGTGGTAGGCATGAAACACAAGGGACCCCTCTGTGTAAACCACATTATTTGATACTTTAATTCCAGTAGAACAAAACAACAGCAAAATAATATAAGCAAGCCAACTGAAATACAACATCATACCCTGGGGGTTCAGGGAGGCAGCAGCTCAGGGGAAGGGCTCACCCACCCTGATGGAACGAGGACAGTATTTGATGCCTGCTGGGAATGTGGGAGACCCCATGGAGGGGAGAGAGGGGACACCTGATGCCTCCTTACCTGCACTCCCCAGCAGCTGGAGCACACCCCCTCCTACGCAAACATGAGATGGGGCAGAGGCCTGGCAGGTGGAGGAAGAGCATTCCTCTGACTTTAGTCTACCTCTTCCATATGGGATGCATCTTCATCGCCCTCCAGAAGGGGGATTTCATCAGGGCTCCTCTGCTGTCACCTCTTCAATGCCTGGGAGAGGGGAGGAAAGGAAGAGATGAGGTCTCCAAGTGACACAAAGTGATCTCAGGGGTACAGCCTCTCCCAGAGCAAAGGCTGGCTCCTGCCCACAGCCTGAGGGACAGGGCTATTAGCATCCAGTAGTTACACCAAGCCACAGCACCTCCTGATTTACATTTTTAGCTAAACAGCCAATTTGGAGAAAAAGGTTGGGTGCAAGCACAAGCTGTTTCACCAGATGGGTCACATCTCCCATGACAGGCTTTTGACCTTCACTCATGCTCTCAGCTTGTCTGAGCAGCCTGGTGATGGCTCCTGGCCTTGCAGAGGACAGGACAGTCCACTCAGAGCCCTCCCAAAGTACCTTGTTCCAATTCTCCACTTGCCCCTAGCCACCTTATTTACACAGCCAGTTCTGCACATTTCACCAGCATGGCTCGCCCACTGGCCTCCCCTTGCCCCAAGACACATCAGCCTGACCAGCTAACCTGCTTTCAGGACCTGCTTCAGGCCCTAGAAGCTGCATGGACACTTACCAAGCCCCAGTTTGATCCTCCTGTAGATGCAGTTGGAGTGGGTCTGGGGATCTTCCAGGGAGAAACAAGGGGACAGCAGAGCAGTCTCACAGAGTAGCACCACGGGATCTTTGACAGCTTTGTCATTCTTGTCAGCATCAGCCTTCTGGCGGAGGGTTTCCACAATTGGGTGGTCAGGGTTGAGCTCCAAGTTTCTTGGCCATCATATAGCCCATGGTAGAGTTGTCCTGCAGTGCCTGAGCCTTCATGGTGCACTCCATGTTGGGTGTCCAACTGTAGGCACTGGTGACGATGCAGCAGGGAGATGAGACCAACCAGTTTGAGATAGTTACCTGCCAACATAGCCAAGGGTTAGCTAAGCAAGGTCCCCATAATGCCCTGGACTCAGCACATGCTCCACAAAGGCCAAGTTGGCAACCTGTTCCTTATTCTCCCCTGGGTGTAGAAATGAGGTGTCACCAAGATGTAAGGCTTGGTTACAGCATGACAAACTGTAGCAGTCACTCGGAGCCCCTAGCATAAAACTGGCTGCAGCCAGGGCTCTAGGGCTGGTGACCTGTCCCCAGCCCCCCAGGATGGGCTGTGATTCAGCAGGGAGGGCTTGCTGAAGGCCTCAGGACCTACCTGCAGGAATTTGCTTTAAGTGAGGGCTGGTAGGCAGGTAACCTGCTTCCACCTCACTATGGCATGGAGGAGCTCCGGCTCACCTGTGATGCAGGAAATGCTCTTCAGGGTCTCCTTCATATGGGACACCTACTCTGAAAGCGAAGTCACCTCGTCGCCTGTCTGGGACCTGTGGTAACACATCAGCTCTGAAAAGTGCTTTTGGTTGGTGGAGCCCTCATGGATGCCCAGCTGGGGGCAGAAGAGATGCATGAAGCCTCCAAGATGGGACTTGCATGCACTTGGCCACCCCAGTAGCACAGCCATCTCTGACCACTTCAGACCTGGGCCAAGGGCAGCCAGAGGGGCCAGCTGCCCACAAAGGCTCTCTGGGGCACCTGTGAGACCCCCTCTATCCTAACAGCCATGCAGAGAAGACATGGCACAGGGACAAGATTGCTGCTCAGGCAGATGGGTCATGGGCTCCTCCCTCCTCCCAGTGCAAGGTGCCCAACTCTCACCTTCAGCTTCTTGGAAAAGGCCTCATAAAATTTCTTGTAGTTGTCTTTGTCCTCTTGACAGCTTGGAGAAGAGCTCCAAGCATTTCTTCACAATGCTTTTGCGGATCACCTTGAGGATCTTGCTCTGCTGGAGCATCTCACGAGAGGTGTTCAGAGGCAGGTGCTCTGAGTCCGCAGCAGCTCAGATGAGGTCTGAGTAGGGGAGATGAAAACAGGAGGCAGGTTAAGAGCTCTGAGCTTCACCACAGGAGGAGAAGTGCTAAGACAATGACAGCTGTGCACCCACACCAGCTAGTGCCTCATCCGGCCTGGATGGAGGAGTTGTGCTTCTCTGAAGCTCAACACCCTCCTGTCTTACTTCTAGGCTGGCACTGCCAACCCTTCCACCTGCATGCGAGTTGCAGCGCAGGCTGAGGAACCACCAAGTGGCCCAGGAGCCCTCAGTCCCATGAGGCACAACCATGTGGTGGCTCTGGGTATGGGCTGGAAAGGGCCCCTCCGTCTCTCCCAGGGTGGACCAGCACCCACTATGACAGCCAGGTGGTCCTCTCAGTCATTGGTGAGGCTATTGTAGAACTCGCCATACTCTTCCTGGGAGATGTTATCAGGGTTGTGGGTCCAAAGAGCCTTGGTCTTATTCAGCTCCTCCTGGTCAATATATTTCTCCTTGATTTTCTTGGTCTTTTTCTTCTTGCCTTTGTCTCCCTCCTCCTCATCATCAGAGCCCACATCCTCAGTTTTGGGTTTCTCCTCATCTTTGGATGCTGACCCTTCTCAACTTTCTCCTCCTCTGCCTCATCATCACTGATCTCTTTCTCATGCTCCTTCTCCAGCTGTGGAGAAAGGGACAAGCAAGAGTCATGTTTATCCCCGAGCAACTGTTACCAGGAATCCTTTTGCTCCAGATGAGAGAAATGGGTGTCCTCCAAAGCCCAACAAATGCAACACCTGGAACCAGGGCTTCTCCTGAAACCAGCCCTCAGAATCCCTCCACAGCTCATGCAACCAAAAGCTGTGTCCAAGAAGATGGGACAAGGGGCAGGAAACCCTCCTCCCTCCATGGCTGGTTTAGATGACCTCCAGGTGCACAGATCAAAGGCCAGAAGTGTGGCTGGATACACACCACCTTCACCTCCAATATGCTCTCAGCCTCAAATCACCTCTGGCCACAGAAGCTGCGAGCCCCACTGCTCATGACCCAGCAGCTAGGAGCTATGGAAGGGAACTGTACTCTGCCCTTTTCTTGGCTCCTGCTCTCAACACCACCCACCCCTGCCTCCAGCTTTCCAGTGGGTCTGCACAGTCCCTTCTCTTACTTGTGTAGAGCATGATGGGGTCACCAATGGACTGGGAGTGCTTCTGCACCATCTCTTTGACATGCCGCTCCTCCAAGTACTCTGGTCTTCCTTCAAACACAGGATCACTTTAGTGCCCTGTCCAAAGGGCTCACCTACAGTGTGGGGAGAGAAACGTTAGTGTTTCAGGGCATAGTGTTAAAGGGCAGAGACCAAGTGGGACCAGGTTCTCAAGCCTAAACACTACTTGATAGCCAGTGTTAAGAAGTGTGACTGACAACGCAGCACAGCTCTAGGGAGCACCAGGAAAAGGGTGCTTCTAACAGAGAAATACGCATGGGTACAGTACATACGAAGGTCAGTTTGGACGGTGAAGGAGCCCCCAGCTGATGACTCCCAAGCATACTGCTCGTCATCGTTGTGCTTGGTAATGACCACCTTCTTGGCCACTAGGTAGGCAGAATAGAAACCCACGCCAAACTACCCAGTCACGGAGAAGTCTGCGCCTGCCTGTGAAAGCAGAGAAAGACTAATGGACCAGCAAAGAGACATGAAATGCAGCTGATTCACAGCAGCAAAGAACTGGGTCAGCACGCAGAGAAAAAGGGGCAAGTGCCAACAGGAAGCCAGACCTACCCTCAGCTCCTCCCTGCTGCTGGAGAAGCTGGGATGCACGCTCAGGCAGGACAACAGCTGCCACAGCAAAAAATGCAGCAGGGCTGGGGTTATTCACCAGGGAAAGCCTGTGGTGGCCCAGACCCTAGGGAAGCTCAGCAGCCAAAGGTAACCCACCTGCAGGGCTTCCATGAAGGCTGTAGTACTAGATCTGGCAATAGTGCCCAGCTTGTTGATGGGGTCCGCTTTTGTCACCTCAATGCCAGTGTCCACCAGGGTGAGCATAAAGTCCAATCTTGAGGTCCTTAGCACTGTCTAGCTTGGAGAGATCTGTCAAGCTCTCAGAGCTTATCCCATGTCTAGGGAAGACGGTGATGCTCACCACAGCCTCCCCACTCGACAGCCACCTCCTTCCCCCAGCACCACAAGCCTCACAGGCCACCCAAACACCGTCCCCTCCCTGGACAACCCAGAGGGGCATCAGCCTCCCCCTAACCCCTAGCAGAGGAAGGGAAGGAGGGCTGACACCAGAAGCGTTGGAGATGAGCTCCTGCAGGAAGATCTCCATGTTGGAGTAGAAGGTGTTGATGATGAGCAACACGAGCTGGGCAATCTCTGCCTTTGAAGGTCTCCACATCCTCCTCCCTGTGCTGCTCTGCCTCTGGCTGTGGTGGAGGTGGACTCACAGCCCTCAGCCCTATGCTGCTCCTGGAAGCTGGGAGTAGGATGAGGGGACCTGGGCCCTACAACTTGTGGCTGTGGAGGCTGAGGAGGCAATGGCCATGAATGATGTGGGTCAGAGGGGTGGTGTGCGGGGTGGAAGCCCGCTGGCAGGGTGGTGTTCCCCCCTCCAGGAGCCAGAGGTGGCATTCCGGCTGCTCCCAGGCACAAGGAAGGCTCCCAAGTGCATGAACCCAGGTCACCACACCCCAAAATGTGCAGCTGCATCCCCTTACCAGAGGGCAGCAAGCCCTTCCCATGCTGGCCGCGACCTTGTAGCAGCAGCCGTGGGACCTGTCCATGTGGGTAACACACACACCGCTTCACCACCTGACAATGGCTATGGGGGACCCCGGGGATGCCCAGGAAATGCTGGTGCCCGCTCCCTTCAGCCCTTACCGCTCCGCAGCCCTCTCCCCTGTGGTGATGGAGACACACACACTGCCAAAGGGGCATTTCAATCTTTTTATAGAAAATGGCAACTGTACAGATACATTTACACTGACAAGGGATGGGAAAGCCAAGGTGGGGATGGAACGCAGCCTGGGGGGGCAAGGGAGTGGCTGGCTCCCCCCTTGCAGCCCACGACGGGACCTCCTGTCACACAACCAGGAGGCCAAAAGAAAACAACAGCAGAATCACAAAAAAAAAAAAAGAAAAGTAGGGAACACAGGCAAGGAGAGGGGGAGAAGGGGTATGGAGACCTCCTCCTCCCGCAGCCTAGCCACAGTGTTGGCTCTTTCTGTGGGGGGGACACAGATGGGATGCTGTTGCACAGGGGGTGTGAACCTAGCAGAGAGCAGGGCTGGCGAGGTTGGCCAGACTTGCTAGTCTCACCAGCAGAAGTGGTGTGGGATGTTTCCAGTCCCCCTGGAAGGCGAGGAGAGGAGAGCAAGTCCCTAGGTGCCTTGGGGACAAGGGAGGGAATAACACTGGATAGCAGTCTTCAACTCTGTCAGAGAGGAAGAGGCTGAGAATGGCTTTTGGCCTTGAGCTGGGGAAATTATGCAGCGTGGGAGGCGGCTGGAACTCTCATGTGAGATCCTGGGGTCTTACACACACAGCATGGGGAAGGAGAAGGCACGTAGGCCTGAAGGCATCACACAGCCGAGCATGGCAGGAGCCAGGCCAACCCTGCAGGAATGGAACCGTCCCTGGGTGTAATGTCTGCCATGGCGGTGCGATTTGGCAGAGGCAGGCATGAGGTGTTATCTCCCCACGGCGCCAAGGTGTCCAGGGCCTCGAAGGAGGATGCGGAGCCGTCTCTCGGTGTCCCTGCACCCTCCGGGTGCCTCTGCTAGATGAGAATTCGGAACAGGAAGGAGACAGCAGCTCCTAGGGCCAAACCCAGCGACAGGAAAAAGGCCATGACAGCTCCAGCTGTCTCTGCTTCATGGGCAAGCACTTTCCTAGAGGAGAAACAGATGTCAGACCCATCCTCGGGGATGTGTGCCCCATGCCCTGCCGTGAGTTCAACAGAGAGGTGAGAGGAGGCCAGAGAGGAGTCAGTAGCTGTGCTCCTCTGCAGCAGAGGAACACCAAGAGCAAATCCAGCTTGGCTCCAAGAGCCTGCTTCCATATTATGGGCTTGTAAAGAAAGAAAAAGTCCATCAGGCAGGCTGTCCTGAAGTTGGGACACCCCTCCCTGCCTCCTGCCCCTTCACACTGCAGCCCGCCTGGGCTCCTCATGCCGCCCGTGCTCCGGCGCTGGGCAAGGCTGCTCACCCGCCTGGGGGTGCTCTGCCACGCTTTGCTCCTCTCTGCATCCTTGCTGCATCCAGCCCCTTCCCCAGCATGGCAAGGAGGGAGGAAATGGAGAGCCCAAACAACAGCTTCCTCATCTCTATACAGGCGCAAGGCAGGAGGCAGGACACCGGGGTTGTCTCCCCCAAGGTGGTATGGTGATCCCCCTCTGTGCCTGCATCCCCTCGGGGAGTCCAGACACCAGAGCTGGGCAGAGCCAGACTCCAGTTATGCTGTGGGGGTAACTAACCCTTCCCTTGTCCCCAGCTCTTACTCACTTGGGCCCGAAGCACATGCAAAGGCTGGCCAGGTAGCCATTGGAGATGGAGAAGAAGATCATGAAGATGATGTACCAGGCGTCATGAGAGAATACAACAGGCAGGTAGTAACGTGGCTGCACATTGCACAGCATGAAGAGAGGGATAAAGATGACACGGAGGGCCACCATCACTGGCAGGAGGCAGCTGTCCTTCCCGGGCTGGGAGAAAAACACAGGTCACTGAGCAGCTGAGAAGTGGGCACTCCTCATCCCGTGGCATGTCGTCCGAGGCTACAGAGGCTGTCCCTAGTCCCTGCTGCACTGGAGCTGCAGAGGAGCCACACAGAGGGCAAAGTTGCTGAAAGAGCTTCTCTGCAGCAACAAGTCCCAGCATGGCTGCTTGCCGTGGTTTAAGGAGGTCCTGCTAGGGCTTGCTGCTGCCCTGGAAAGTCCGGCCCCAGCTGACTTGGAGAACAGCAGCACTGGAGCCAAAATACTGAGCTGGGCTCGTGAGCAACCGCTAAGCCCTTGCTGGAAACAACAGGCAGGCAGGCTGGAGAGCCTCGTGCACGCTCAGGCAATCTCCTCCTGCAGTGAGCCATGGTGCGGGACAAGGCTGGCTGAGGTCAATCCCCTCTGGCACCTCAGGGTCTGCAAACTGGGCTTTAACCAGCTCCTCAGCCTCCTACGCCATCCCCCAGCCATCTGGGAAAGGGATTATGCTGGGGCTGTTTGGGACAGCGCTGAGAAAGGCACAGCCCGAATTAAAGTCTCCTTGGATCCTAACAGAGTCCCTGGATGCGGGAGGCTGTGACAGAGAAGGAGGCACTGTCCCCGTCTTGTCCCTGCAGCTGGGACCGAGGCAGCCCCTGGTACAAGATGTGCCCGGCTCTGGGGTCCCCTCAGTGGGGTGCCAGGCTGGCAGAGGATGGGTCTGGGGTCAGGACAGACCCACAGCTGCCGCGGGAGCTGCCTGGGCTGGCGCAGCCACGGGATGCTTCAGGAGCACGAGGGGAAGTCAGCAGGCAGAGCAACAAGAGCAGCAGCCTCTCCTGCCCCAGGAGGAGAAAAGGAGCGAGCGGGGCCCCAACCAGGGAGATGAGGCCCAAACCGCACGCAGTCAGACTTTCCACACAGCCTTGTTTTGGAAACGTTTCCTGCTGGGTCATCCCACCACGGAGGCTGCGGCCTGGACACCAGGCAGGGCGGCTCGTGGCCAAGGCCCAGGGCAGCCAGCAGCGATGGACGAGGGAGAAGCAGCTCAGGGCCGTGGAGAAACCAAGCAGCTCAGGGCCGTGGAGAAACCGGCCCGGACAGACCCCCGGTGTGGGGCACTGCCAGGAGCTTCTCTAAACAAACAGCCCGAACAATAGGGGGGAAATGGCTCTTGAGGGGTGGGTGAAGGGGCAGGAAGAGAGACAGACAGGACAGCTCCCTTCCTCGCCCACCCCATCACAGCTCCCATCACTCAGCCCCAGGCAGGGGAGAGGAGAGCAAGGGGAGGTGGCAGGGGATAGCTTCTGTGACCCACACATGGGCATGGCTCTGCCCTGCTCCCAGGACAAGGCTCTTTAAAGCAGCTGTGTGCTGTGCGGAGGCCAGAGGTTTTATTTTTGGGCCACCCTGTCTTTCACCCTCTTTACCTGTCGCCGTCCTGCCTCCTGCCTGGCTGTTTGCATAGCTGGAGGGAAGGTTTGTTTACAGAGAGGCTGAAATGGAGGAGGCGGCTTCATCCCAGCCATGCTGAAAGAGCAGTGGGAGGACAGGACAACACTGTGGTTCTTGGCTCTGACTCCATAAATCTCTGCTTAGGACTTAAAGCCAGGGCAGGAGTCAGCTCGGCACCTCCTTCCTCCAAGCCACGGATGGCAGCCCCAGTGACAGCCATAGCTGAGGGGCCTGGGGACGAGGAGTGCCTGGGGATGAGAAGGACCTGGGGATAAGGAGTGCCTGGGGACAAGGAGTGCCTGGGGATTTGCTCCATGCCCCACGCTTACCCATGTGAAGAGGGCAGTGAGACTCCGTCCTGTCCAGTCGAAGACATTAAAGAGGAGGAAGCAGGAGACAGGGATGAAGTAGAGACCTGCAGAAGGGGGAGAAGGTCACTGATGAGCCCAGGGTGCCCCAGGCCCTCCTGCCAACTGCATGGAGACTGTCTTTCAGGTCTGGGTCCTCCTGGTTTCCTGCTAAGGGCTGGAATGCTCTCCCAGCCAGACCGGTGTCTACATACAAACCATCCTGCATAACAGTCAGGCACTACTACTTCAACCTCTGCTTTCTTTCCTCCCATTTACCTTGTTCCCAGTTTCCTCCTGTCCCCCCATCCCTGGCCACACTTACCCCAGCTGTTTCCCTCTCCAAGGACAGTGGACACTTTAGCCGTGACGGAAGGAAAGACACCGATAGTGACAGTGAAGACGAAGCAGACAGACACAGCCATGACCCAGAGCTAGGCAGAGGAAAGACAGGGCTGGTACCAAACACAGGGCAAGAGACCAGTGCAGGGCTGGTCTCCTCTCCCCGTGTTCTTCTACACCTGTGCCCATCCCCTGATATGAGGGGCAGGGCAGGGGCTGCTGGCAACTCACAGACCTTCTTAAAAATAGCAACGACCGAGGGCTTCTCCTCAGGGTTGTGGATAGGGATGATCTTTGAGTTATTCTGCTCCATCCCATTGGGCTCATCTGCAGGGAGAGACACAAGTAGGGCATAGTAGACCCCAGAAAACTGAGATCTAATTTAGTCCTCCTGTCTCATTCTTCCTCTCAGCTCTTCCTCTTTTTCCTTCCTCTTCCTCCTCTCAGCCCCTCACCTTTCTTAATCAGGTCTCTCTTGGTCTCCAGCTCTGCATAGCACACATGGTACTCTGTCTTGTCCTTCATGGAGTAGTATCGGAAGAAATCCTGCAGAGAGACAGCCACAGAGAACTCATCCATGCGTGAGGAAAGAAGGCTGCCAGGGGCTGTGTGGTAAGAGCAGATATGGGCAATATGGACAAAGTATTCCTTCCACTTATGTCCGATACGGATGCTTTCCTGCTCACCCAGGTGCTCATTTCCACAGTACCCCAAGGACGCTGGGGTATCTGAGGTGGGAAGTATCCCAGAGAGCTCCCCTGGGACAGGGGAGAGCTTGCCCTGACCCAGGAGGTAGATGGAGGCTGGTAAAAGCCAAGGCTGAGGTGCTAGTGGGCCACGGTCCTTGTGCTGTGGTGTGCAAAGCTGCCATGTCCCCACACCCTTCCCCATCAGGATGACCAAAAGTCTCACCATGCGAGGCAGAAGGATGTAGGAGAAGATTGCCAGCACAATCGCCACACAGGCTGTGGTGAAGTAACCGATGAAGCTCTCAGGTTGCTGGGCGCCAACTGGGAACACAGGAAGGGAGGAGATGGGGAGAAACAGGAAGGAGATGACGAGGGCTGAGAGGAGCAAAGCCCTGCTGCCATCTCCCACCCAACCCTACAGCACGACCCCAGCAGATCCTGTTGACAGCAGTGCTCTGGGAAGGCCCCATCACCTTCAGGGCAAGGATTACTCACTGGCAATACTGAAGATCATCGCCAAAGCGGCAAAGGTACCCGCCAAGCCCTGTCCACTCATGATGGGAGCTGTGTAGCTGGCAGGCAGGAGCCCTGCCAGCCCAAAGAGGCTGCTCTGGAGGATGGCACCAAAGGCTGCAAAGAGGAAAGACGAGCAGAAATGAGAAACCAAAGGCCAAGATGGACTGCACCTCTGCGGGGAGCCAAGGTTCCCATTCTCCTTGGCTCTCCCACAGTGAGATTCATGTTTTTGTCCCAGAGAAATCAGCCCTAGCCATGGGGCTGTGTCCCTTTCCTTCCCCCCACTGCCTCACTCACAGTTGATGAAGACGATGCTGATCATGGTAAAGACGAAGAAGGGAAGAGGTTCCAGGGCAACCTTCACCATGATCGCGGTGACTAAAAACACGAGCCCAATGGCCACCAGGCTGCCCAAGATGCGGATCTGCTGAGGAATCCTGCAGGAGAGGTCTCAGTGAGGAAAACCCGCCCCCCAAAAGCGTGTGAGGCTGAGGCCAAGCTCTCCCATAGGAATCCCAGCCAAACCCCAGCACAGGAGACCAGTGTTTTGCCTTTGACTTGACTGAACGGGTTGTGGCTTGGCTCTGTGCTGGGGCAGGAGGACGGCCCAGGGCTGGGATGCAGGGGCAAGGATGGGGCAAGGCTCACCGCTGGTGGATGAAGGAGTTGAGGCAGGTGAAGATGAGGAGGGGCACCATGGCGCAGAGAGTCATGAAGTTGTCAAACATGGACTGCAGGTAGGAGGGGGACAAGGCAGCCTCACCGGTCTGGTTCCAGAAGTGGCTTATCTCCTCTGAGTCCGCAAGGCGGCTGATGAAATACTGCAAGGGAAGGAGCCTGGTGGGGCCAAGGTGCTGCGAGGCCACCCCCAGCACACTCAGGCCACCCTTGTCACCCATCCAGCCCCATGCCCAGCTCTCTTGCCACCTCAGCACCACTCATCCCATGCAGGTCACCCACGCTTCTGTCTCCTGCATGGAAACACAGGGGCTCTACGCTGTGCCATGCTGCCACACCAACACCATGGTCCCTAGATGTGACACAGGAAGATTAGTGTCATGAGCAGCAGTAGGAGGGAAGCCCTCACCTCCCTGGCGGTCATGAAGAAATTCCATGGCAGCAGCGTTCCCAGGCCGAGGATGAAGAAGATCAGCCACACAGCCTTGTACCTGCGGAGGGGACAGAGCGGTTTGGAGCAGGATGCTGGGCAGGGCAGGGCACAGGCATCACTTCTGACTGTCCCCTACCCTGCAGTGGGAGGCACCAGGAGGAGGAGGAAGGACAAAATGTATTGCCCTGTCCCTGTCCCACAACCCCTGCCAGCCTGGGCTGTCAGAGGAGATGTGGCACCACAGAGGGGCTGTGGGAGGTTGGGGAAGATGTGGCACCAGATGCACAGCGGCTGTGACCAGAGCTGGGAGGGAGTCACCCTCCCCAGGCGTGTCCCAGCACCGGGGACTGTTTACAGCCTGTTTGCTGTGGAAAAGCTGACAGAGCATCTCAGGGAAGAGACAGCTCGGTAGCCCAGTGAGCATGCAGGAGAGGGGGTCCCCCAGATGTTGGGTCACCCTGTCCTCCCTCACCTCCTGGCTGTGCCCCCACACTGACATCAGAGCCCGGCATTACCTATCTTGGGGCCCATCTCTTGCTGTCATCTTGTGTGGCAAGAGTCAGCACAGGGTCCCAGCAAGTCTTGCAGCTGCTCTCCGTCTGGAAAGCAAACAGAGGATTTCATGGGGGAGTGAGGGACGCAGGGGCAGTGCTGATTTTAACCCCCAGCCATGCCACTGGGTAAGTGCTCCACAGTTCCAGTAGCCAAACAGAGCTGGCAAATGGCAAGAGCACTGTGCAGCAGCTTTGGAAACCTGCGGCTCAGAGTCCTTCACTGGAGGGGCTGTGACACATAGCAGAATTCTGTTGGCCAGGAGACACCAAGCCTTCTCTCGGAAAGGGAAACTCTCTCGGAAAGGGAACCCACTTTCCAGAGATGCACAGGTTGCTCGGTGCCAGCTGCCTGCAGCAGGCTCTTAAGGGATTTGTGAGCTTGCAGCTCTCTGCCCCAAATCCTGGGGCTGTGAGCAAAGCATATGCGCAGCGGGCTGTGTCCGCCCCCTCTGCCCTCCCCACCTCCCTCCAATGCCCGGGGCAGGGCACGGCACAAAAGACACATTTAACTCTGCAGCCTCTCCAGCCAGAACCACGCAAC